GACTAGAACTCACAATCTCCTGGTGATTGGCCGAAAGTCACCCAGCCGGTTTTCATACCTTTGGCGGGACTAGAATTCAGGGCCTCCCAGTTTCCTTAACCTGGTTCCTTAACCATTAGACCAAACTACCCATCTTGAATTGCATTTCATAATCAGATGAATTCAGTGTCTGTTTAGTTCCTTTCAAGTTTTTATCCTTCTGGCTGAGACAGAGAAACCGAACGGCCATCCTGGGCGGCTAAACTTTCGCCTGGATTAAACCAGGTTCGCCCCACAGGTCTGCCTCATTCCATATCATTGGAAAAAATTTCCATTTTAAAATGGATGTTGGGGGGTTTTCTGCCTGTGGTCCCCCCCTCCCAGAAAATCCCAGATGGTGGGGTCAAAGTCCATGGCTTGTTTTGCAAACATCCTTGGGAGAAAATACACATTCCCGGCTCACAAATGCAAAATGCCAACGTTTCATTCCTTGCAGAGTTTGTGTCTGGACAACATGACACAGATTTCATCTGTCTGGTATCATCCTGGTTAGGATGATGGTTAGGAACTGTAACATCCATCCTATCCACCCCACCATCAATGGTGTCATATTACAGCGATTTTGATCGTGGTTTTACCCTAATTTGTCTCGTCTATGGTATTTGGGTTTGTATGTATAATGTGCTCGTTTGTTTGGTTGAAAAAAGTGACTTATGACCAGTTTTCATACTTACGACCATTGCAACATCCCCATGGATTAAACTTTGGATACTTGGCAACTGACTCGTATTTATGACGGTTGAAGTGTCCCAAGGTCATGGGATCCTCTTTTGTCACCTTCGGACGAGCAAAGTTAACAGAGAAAGCCCAATTCACTTAACAGCCATGTTGCTGATTTAAGAACTGCAGGGATTCGCTTAACAAACGTGGCAAGGGAAGTCGTAAAACGGGCCAAAACTCAGTGAACAAACTTCTCACTCAGCAACCTAAATTTTGGGCTCAATTCAGTGATTGCATGACATCTTGTACATTAAATAAAGAAGTAAATAAATAAAATGGTTAGCAGCAGATACCGATGTTTGGCCCAACTATAGAAGCAAAGTTTTAGAAAAGTGCTGCCCGCTTTTTGGCTAGAGACAAGGAGTGCTTTACTTATGATCATTCGTTTAGTGACGATTCAAAGTTACAGCAGCCCTGAAAAACATGGCTTGTGCAATCAATCCTCATGCTGGCTGAGGAATTCTGGGAATTGAAGTCTTCAAGCTGCCAAGATTGGGAAACCTGGACTAGATATTGGTGGGCTTCTGAGAACCCCCCCCCCTGCCCAGTTTGACTGTCTTCATCCAGCAAAGTTCTCCATGGTTAACTCAACCCTGGGTTTCCTCAGTTAGCCCTGTGTGTCCCACTCACTATGTGGATTCCAGCTTTGCAGGTTGCTCAGAACTGACCCCAATGTGGGTTTGTGCAGGAAACTCACAACCATCAACTTGGAAGGATGGGAGGGAAGAAGGGAGGGAGGGAGGGAAGAAGGAAGAGAGGGAGAGAGGGAAGAATAGAGGGAGGAAGGGAGGGAGGAAAGGAAGAAGGAAGGAAGAGAGGCAGGGAGGGAGGAAAGGAGGAAGGAAGAGAGGGAGGGAGGGAAAAATAGAGGAAGGGAGGGAGGGAAGAAGGGAGGGAAGGAGGGAGGGAGGAACGAAGGAACGAAGGAAGGGGAAAAGTTGGCTCTGGGGTTAAGCCAACCGAAGCTATGGAAACCCAACCCAGGTTCACCCTTCGAGTGGACTAACCCTGGTCGGGGTTTATAACTCGCCTCTAGCTGTCGTGGGAACCCGACCTCCGACTTCTTATCCTGCGCTGCCGATCCGAGTTAGGCTCCCCGAAGACCCAAGAGTCCCCCTACTTCCCATTCGCCTCGCTTTCCCCCTAAGGTGCGTGCGGGGGTGCGTGCGGGTGTGTGTGTGTGTGTGTCTGTGTGAGACAGAGAGACCCGTCGCCCCCTCTTCTCCCCCCCCCCCCCCCCCCGGGGACCTTTCTCCCCCCCCCCCCCCCGGGATCCCTTCCCCCCCTCCTCCCCCCCTCCCCGCTCCGGAGGGGCCGAGTTTCCCCCCCGCCGGCCGGTTAAAATAATCCCGCGAGAATTGCAGGCGCCGAGGGTGAAACTGTCAAGGGGAGAAGGAGAGGAGGAGGAGGAGGAGGAAGAAGGGAAGGAGGAAGGAGGAGAGGAGGAGGAGAGAAGGAAAGGAGAAAGAGGAGGAGGAGGGGGGGGTCTCCGCGCATGATCCGGCGGCGCTTTGGCCGGGCGCGTCGCGGCGGCTGCGGGCTGGCTGGGCTCGCGTGGGGCTCCGCGCGTGGAAGAGGAGGAGGAGGAGAACTGGCCGCCCGCTCGGAGGTAAGCCAGGCCGGCCTGCCGCCTTGGCTCGGCCGCCCCCGGCCCTTCTTCCCCGCCACCCCAGCGCCCCCGGCCCGGCTTGCCCTCTCTGCCCGCCCGCCTGGCTTTGGCTGGCTGCCTCCCCGGGGCTTCTTTTCCGCGGGAGGCGAGCAGCCTCCTCCCTTTTCCTTCCCTCTTTTCCTCCCTTCCTCCCTTCCTCCCTCTGCCATCCCTCCTTTCTGCATTTAAAAAAAAAAAAAAAAGAAAGCAAAAGTCGCCATTTTGCTTCGTTGCTTTCCCGGGGCGTTTCGAGGATCGGGTTCGGGCCGCCCCGGCTTGCTTCGGCCCGACGCCCGCCCGCTCCCCTCTCCCTCTCCCCCCCCCCGCTCCTTTGGCGACGCACTCGTGTTTTTGCACCGTGGGATCCCCTCCCCACTCACCCCC